TGTCGGAGCTGGGCTAAAAGACAAGCGGAGAAGAAGGGAGGAACTTCCGGTCTGGGCGTTTGCTTTTTCGTGAGAACCGGCTGATTAATGTTTGGAATGTTTATGGTTGTGACTCTGGCCGGGAACTGTGAGAAAAGCTGAACTGTGACAGCGAGAAAGTGCCTTATAAGCGCTTTTAAAAGTCAACAGTTGCGGAGGAAGACCCAGCAATGAGAATGGCAGCGTTTAAAAGTGAAACTGGAATTTAAAAAAAAAGAGAAAATCCATTCTCAGAGCTAGAGATCTTTGGAAAGGGCATGAAAGAGCATGAAAGAGTGAAGATTTACAATATATGAAATGGAAGCGTTAACAGCGACCCGGAGGAAGACTGGAAAAGCCGGAGAGATGAAAACAGAAGAAGCTCCTCCATGAAATCGGGAATTTAAAAGAAGCCAGCACGCGAAGGAGCGGTTCTGAATGCGCCTCGAGGAAACTTTAACTAACAGAGCATCGAATGAACACTACTAATACACTAACATAGATAACACCTTTAACTGGTTTGAAGAAAGAAGTTTGACTGCACACAGAAGAAGCCTAAGAAGATAATTTGGACATTACTAACAGATTAAATTACAAGTTAATATATCACTCAGCTTTTTCTTTCTCCCACTATATACCCTCCCTATTTTTCTATCTAAGCGAAATACCTCTCCTTTTTAGGAGAGTAAATAAAGCTTTTATTAAAAAAGAAGAATGGGCTTTTAGTTCATGAACCACAGTAGATTGGCTTACAGGTTACAGTGACTTTTAGCAAACAGAAGCTGTTCCATTACATGGCATCATATGCTACACAAGGACAGTTCATCTAGCCTCCTCTCGTAGGAAGTTCACACCAAAACCAAAATTTCAGCACTTTCATGGTATGTTGAATATTGTGTGAATGCTTAATAATGAAATGCAAGCATAAGATGGGGGGGAAGCTGCTGGAGAAAAAAAATGAGAACGTTCAGCTCACTTGCATCTGATAGTGCCTTGGATCTGAGAATCTGACCTGGTACCAGTGTTCCCTCTAAGCTGAGTTAGCTCACAGTTTTTTAGCCTTTGGCTTACACGTTTTTGTCTTAGCTCAGGAAGGATGGCTCCGGAGCAAACTAATTTAGGCAGCAGCCAAATTGCTCGCTCACAACTTTAATGCCGGTAGCTCGCAAAGTAGAATTTTTGCTCACAAGACTCCACAGCTTAGAGGGAACATTGCCTGGTACAGGTGCAACATTTACCTAAGATTAGTGTTAACCATCGCTTGCTGCCTTGTTTTGAGAGTCAGCATGGTGTATTGGTTAGCGCATCAAACTAGGATACCTGGAAGTTTCCAGATGAACAATGGCCATGATTTAGCTTGGAGCTGGGTATAGGAAGATACCATTAATAGTGACCTGATGTCTTTACATGTGGAGATTTATTTACTTAGGCAGCTCACTATCATGTTTTTCTTCCAGGTGGGGACCCAAAGTTGCTCACAAACATTTAGAAATACAATTCAAACAAAGAAACAAAAAAGCATAAAAGAAGTAAACTACCTTAACTATGGTTGCTGAGTGCAGGGGTGTTGCTTAACCATGGTTGTTGCAATTATGGCCTGCAAATTACTTCAAATTACGGTTAAGCATTACATCCACATACTTGTGTTAAATCTGCATAGGGCTATTATGTCTTTAAAGGTAAACAGAACTTAGAAAAAATTCTGTTTCATGTGGGCAGAAAGGTGCCTGGTAAGACTTGTGACTATGGTTTTACAAGTTACCCTACACTCTTTGATTTTATTACTATTAGCCCATTGTCAAGAAACCAAGAGTCTAATTCCAAAAGTGGAACTAAATGGGTAAAACAAATTGTGGCTGTTGCTGTTGTTTAACCCTATTTCTACATTGATGTAACCTCAGATTTTTTTTAATGGAATTTGTCAAAACGATTTGCAGTCTTTGAACTTTGCAGGGAAAATAAACACATTGGACCTAAAACAGACTGTCTCTCTAGAAACCAATAAAAGGCACTCAGTTTGGTGATGAAACCAGGCGGCTTCTTGGGCCATTTAATCGAGTCTACTCCTTTTACATGGAGAAGCCAGGGATCCAACCTGGGACCTTCCGCACGCCAAGTAGATGCTTGTACCACTGGGCCACATCCCCTCTTCACATTTTTTCAAAATAAAATGCCATTATCTTAGGATTTTAACCAATATTCTTGAATATCCACTATTATACCGTCTTAAGTATACCAGATAATTTTTATAGTATTGTCTTAGCACCCTGGATTTATTTTGCCCCACAGCACCAGGTACTGTAACATATATTGAACAAAAGGGGTGAGAGAAGGCAATCCTGTGCAGCTCAGGATACATCTCTGCTCCAAACTGTAGCTATGTTGCTCCTTACTCACGTTCAGGTCCCAGGATAACTGGGGGAAGGCAGTTAAAATACAATCCAAGCAGTATAGTATCCAAAGAAGACAAATGAAATGCTTACAGTGCAAAGCACGATCAATTTATTTACAGGCCTACAGCAAAAAACTGCAGTCTCCCTACTATACTGGTTCATTCACCAAAGATGGAAAAATGTGATAGGTGAATTTTTTTGTACATGATGACACTGAAACTTTTTTGAGAACTAAAAAAAGAACAGAACAAATATGAGAAGCTTCAAGTTTAGCAGGAACGTGATTTTTTGTTGTTCAGTCGCACAGTCGAGTCCGACTCTTCGTGACCCCATGGACCACATCACGCCAGGCCCTTCTGTCTTCCATCGTGCTCTGGAGTTTGCTTAATTTCATGTTCATTGCATCGATAACACTGTCCAACCATCTCATCCTTTGCCGTCTCTTCCTTCTTTGACCTTCAATCTTTCCCAGTATCAGGGTCTTCTCCAGTGAGTGCTCCCTTCTCATTTGGTGGCCAAAGTATGATGTGATTTTACAAATATTAATTTCCTATGAACAAACTTGACTTGAGTTATGAGAAGGCTAATCCTTAAGAAGACCAAAAAATTGCTTGTCACTGCCATTATATTACATCAGGTTACAGCTATCCATTAAATGTATCAAGCATCGTAACTACATGCTCCCCCCAACAGTGGTTACAGCCTACCCCTTGAATTTCCTGTGTAGAGAACAAAAGCCATGGAATAAATACTGCTGAATGATACTAATCTGGTTCCTACAGTTGCTTCACCCTGTAGCTGCCACAGGACAAATGCCCCAGAGGAGTAAACTTTAACTGATCTTCACCTTATCTCCAATGGAGTCAGGAACATTTTACCCCCAGTATAAGGTAAGGGTATTTCCTCGGATTCTCTTCTTCCAGCTATGCTTCTGTGTGCTCTGAACAACCAAGGACTGAGTTAGGCAGAAGTTCTGTGTTCAATCAGATTTCCACAGTATAAGCAAAGCACTGAGAAAGCGCCATGAGCAGCATTCCTTTTTTTTTGTGAGCTTTGTGGAAACAGGGATAGCTTTTAATCTTTTCCATTGTTGCAGAGGTGCCTGGTAGTTGCCTTCTGATGCTCTAGGAGCATGATGGATTTTTCAGAGTTTTCTATATTCCTTAGTAGAATCTCTAGCCGTCTCTTGATTTTCTTCTGATCTTCTATAGCACATCCAATAACAACTGACTGGAATTTCTGATCGATGGGTCCAGATGGTACCTCAGATGTACATGCCCCATAAAGTGACACTAAGCGGCTCTTGGAGTCTTCTAAGTCATCTAAGAGTTTACTGACTATTTCGTCAATCATCCGTGTAGCATGAAACAGTGACTCCTGCTGCTGGGGATTTCGGATGGTTTCTACGGAAACCTCAACTGTGAGGGTTCTACCCATCAGACGTTTGGCAGTCAGATTGAGCTCTTCTCTTTCACCTGCATTTGAAAGTGAAACACTTTGAACTGAAGCTTCCTACAACACCGAAGTATCATATGGAGACTGAAAAGTATTGTGTTACTTGAACACTCTAATGCCTTCCAAAGCGGAATCATACCCTTCTAAGGTCACTGAAGTCTCAAAAAGTCACTAAAGTCTCAGAAAAGTGTAAATCTGCTTAGGATGGCACTGCTAGCCTTCTATTGCAGGTCCGGAAGTTAGAGTGGCACTGTTATTGCACATCACTAGAAGTGGCTCTTTGAGAGGCTGACAATCTTTACTAGCAGCTCTCCATACTAGATAAATCCGTTAACATGCTGTATGAAATAACTATGGGTTGGATCCAACAATGTGGGGGGAAATACGGAGAAAAAAGGGGAAGGATCTCTCTTGGGCCAGAGGCCACCAGGAGGTTCTTATTACTAGAGCACAACACTCTTCCAGGGGCATATTGGGAGAGGTGGTCCCGAAGATATGTAGGTCTCTGACTGCTAATGGCCTTAAATGTCAAGACCAAGACCCTGAACCAGATGTGGTGCTCCAATGGGAGCCAGTGCAGCTCAAGCAGCACTGGATGAATGTGTACCGTTCGAAGGGTCCCCATAATTTATTTATTCGATTTTTATCCCACTGTCCCTACCAAGGCAGGCTCAGGGCGGCTTACATTAAAAGGATTAAAAATATATTAAAACACAAATGCCTATAAAAATGAATTATATGTTGTCTTTCCGATTCCCTATGAAAACATTGTTAGTCCCTTGTCTAAAAGTATAACGGTAAATCACTTTGAGCCCACTTGTGGGGAAAGTGATTAATAAATCAAAAGCATTAATATTAATACAATACAGCTTCATAAAACACATAAATATAACAAAGCACAATACAAAATAGAATAAAGTGCTGGTGGCGGTAACATCCTGGGCCATGATAGGATGGCCCAAAGTATGGCCCCCATCAGTATCTAGCATGACAGGCTGTTGGTGTTAGCATAGAGGGCCTTGACAATTTAGTTATTATTGTTAGAAGTGGCTCCTAATCGGCCTGGTGGAAGAGCTCCATTTTACAGGCCCTGCAGAACTGTACAAAGTCCCACAGGGCCCTGATGTCTTCTGGGAGCTCATTCCACCAGTGTGGAGCCACTACTGAGAAGGCCCTGGCAGAGGCCAGTCTGGTGTCTTTCGGTCCAGGGAGGGCCAAGCGGTTTTGAGACCCTGACCTCAGTGCTTTCTGGGAAACATGCGGGGAAAGGCGGTCCCTCAGGTAGGCAGGCCCCAGCCAATATAGGGCTTTAAAGGTCAAAACCAGCACCTTGATGCGAATCTGGTATGCTACTGGCAGCCAATGCAATGCCTTCAGCACAGGCTGGATGTGCTCCCGCATAGGGAGACCCATCAACAGCCTGGCAGCCGCATTTTGCACCAGCTGCACCTTCCGGAGTTGCGACAAGGGAAGCCCCGTGTAGAGAACATTGCAGTAGTCTAGTCTCGAGGTGACCATTGCATGGATCACTGTTACCAGATCATTGCATTCGAGGAAGGGAACCAAGTGCCTGATCAACCGAAGATGGTAAAAGGCTGTATTGACAGTGGCTGCTACCTGGGCCTCCATTGTTAAAGCCACGTCCTGTAGCACCCAGAGAGTCGGACTGGCCACCCAACAACAGATATAGCTGGGTGTCATCTGCATATTGGTGACACCCTAGCCCGTGCCTCCAGGCAATCTGGGCAAGGAGGCACATGTAGATGTTGAATACTTACCTACTTACCTAAGGGACCACATTTCCCCACATGTTCCCCAGAGAGCACTAAGATCAGGATCCCAAAACTGCCTGGGTCTCCCGGGCCCTAAAGAAGCCAGGCTCGCCACAACAAGGGCCACGGCCTTTTCTGTGGCGGCCCCTTACTGGTGGAACGAGCTCCCAGATGACATCAGGGCCCTGCGGGGCCTATTACAGTTCCGCAGGGCCTGTAAAACGGAGCTCTTTGACCAGGCTTTCAATTAGGGTGCCGCCTTTTAACATCAAGGCCCTGGCCCCAACATCAGCACCAACTCATTGATCAACAGCCTGGCAGGAGCCTGGACTATGGCAGTAGGCAACCATTCTAGTGTTGAAACAACACCACTATCTCTTATTAACTTCTAATCTCTGAGAATTTAGGATTTTATATGCTGTAATTTTAATTTATTTCTGTATTTTAACATATTTCCAGTGTGTGTGTGTGTGTGTGTGTGAGTATACACATACATATATACACACATACACACACACACACACTGTAAGCCACCCTGAGCCTGCCAAGGCAGGGAGGGTGGGATACAAATTAAATAAATAACATTGGGGAGAGCACTGTCCTTTGAGGCACTCAGCAGATCAGGGGTGCCTTCGGGACATCTGATCCCTGAGCGCCACCCGATGTGGCGAAAGGAGACGAGCCATTGCAAGGCAATCCCCTGCACACCCATGTTGGTGAGGCGGTGGATCAGTAGCTGATGGTCGACCATGTCGAACACTGCCAACAGGTCCAACAACAACAGCACCGCCCTGATCCAGATGCCTCCAGAGGTCGTCTGTGAGGGTGACCACTGCCATCTCTGTCACATGGCCTGGGCGGAAGCTGGACTGGAAAGGGTCTAGCATGGAAGTAAGAACCCACGTGGCCACGTTATGGACCAGTTGGAGCTTCCGGGTCAGGCACAAGGGTAGGCTAGTGTAGAGCGAATTACAGTAGTCTATCCCGGAGGTGACGTTGCATGGATTACTGTGGATAGGTTGGGGCGAGATAGGTAGGAAGCTAGCTGCCTAATCTGGCGCAGTTGGAACAACGCCAGCTTGACAACCTTCGCAACCCGGGCTTCCATAGACAAGGTGGCATCCAGAATCACGCCCAGACTCTGGACTGTTGGAGCCAGTGATAGGGGCACTCTGTCAAGAGCTGGGAGTTGACTATCCAGCCATGGCTCCCCCCGATGCAGCCAGAGAACCTCCGTCTTATCCAGATTCAGTTTCAGCCAGCTCTGCTTTAACCATCCAACCACAGCCTTGAGACCCTCAGTTAGATTTACAGGAGTGGTGTCTGTTCGGCCGTCCATCAACAGAAACAGCTGGGTGTCATCGGCATATTGATGACATCCAGCCCGAAACTCTGTGCTAGCTGGGCGAGGGGGTGCATATAGATGTTAAATAACATTGGGAAGATAAGTGCCCCCTGGGGAACCCTGCATTCAAACAGGTACCTTGGGGGACACTGACCCTTCCAGCGCCACCGTCTGTCTCCGATCTGCTTATGGAAACTTTCTCTGTTTGCTTGATCAGCCTTATGTTTTTTAATCTTCTTCTGGGCAAATAGAGACATACAAGTAAGAAATTTACTAAGCTCCCACCTTCACTGATATTCCTCATATCTTGGCTGTTCTGTATATTATGGATCATTTCCAGAAGAGATTCTTTTTCTTGTTCCATTGATGATGCTGCATCCCGCAAGGCTTCAACCCTAAGGGTGGGGGAAAGGAAGAGGAACAATTGAGAAAATAATGTACACCCTGAAAACAACACTTATAAACACATACACTGGATAAAAATGCAAACACAGCAAGTGACAAGTTGCCCCAAACAGTACTAATTTATTTCACAAACTAGAATGAACAATTTCCTACTTTTTCATCTCCTGGTTTTGGCCCAAAATGCCATTCTTTCTACCTTGAAGAGCTAAGAGCTGATCCAGCCCCTCACTACTGAGGGTGTTTGTGTGTGATGGCTTCACATAAGCATATGAGGGGCTTCAAATGGGACAAACGGGGAAGAAAGAGCAGTCCAGTCCATGAAGTCCACAGTCACTTTCCCCACCTTTCCTCCTTGAATACCCTACCTTGAAGGGTCATAAATCTCTTCCGCTCAGCCTAAAGTAGCAACAGTTATCACAGGAAGAAAGATGGGGGAAAGGACCCATACGATAATGTGATCCAGGTAAAATCCTACAGTGTGTGTAGGAAGGGCATAAGGAGTTGTAGACATCAACCACCTGATCCATTGGCCCAGTATTTCTGTGCTTATTACTGAAAGGAGCACATCAAATTCAAGTGGCTGAGAGGCAGGTTCCAAAGCAAACTTCCATTAGTATATGTCAAAGGGGCCTTAACAATTTACCAACTACATTATTTCTGAGTTAGATCATGCCTGAAAACAACATTTACAAATATCTGGTTAACAATTATTTTGAAAACTTAGTATTTGCAGATCATCTTTAGGCTGCTGCTTTATTTTTTTACCAGTAGCAAGAACATAGTGTAGTGGTTAGAATGTCAGACTAGGATCTGAGAGACCTAGATTTTGTTGGAAAAATTGGTAATAGTTAGATATTCAGATATTGCAATGGATCTTTGCTTCACTGGAGAGAAGGCATTTTCTTCTATGTAAAAATCTTTATTTCTAAGGGAAGGGTTCGCAGGAAATCTACAAAACAAAGACACCTACGACTACATCTTTACACTTTGAACACATGGTCTACAACAATGGATTATTATTATTCTTGACCCCTAGAAGGAAATCATCTGAATAGATTAACTAATTATTGTTAGTAAGTAGGATTCAGTTTCCTGGGCTTTCTCTCCATTGGCTCTGTGCCAGGTTCCCTGAGGTAAACACACATTAACCTTATAATGACTGAATTTGAGTCCGAATCCAAGGCTAACCATTCAACATCACAGTAATCCATTGATGCAGAAGAGGCTGAAGTGGACCGGTTCTATGAAGACCTACAACACCTCTTAGAACTAACACCAAAAAAAGATGTCCTCATCATCATAGGGGACTGGAATGCTAAAGTACGAAGTCAAAAGTAAACAGAATAATAACAAGTTTGGCCTTGGAGAACAAAATGAATCAGGGCAAAGGTTAACAGAGTTTTGTCCAGAGAACATGCTGGTCATAGCGAACACCCTCTTCCAACAACCTAAGAGGCGACATCACCAGATGGGCAAAACCGAAATCAGATTGACTATATAATTTGCAGTCAAAGATGGAGAAGCTCAATACAGTCAATAAAAACAAGACCTAGAGCTGACTGTGGCTCAGATCATGAGCTACTCATTGCAAAATTTAGACTTAAACTGAAGAAAGTTGGGAAAACCACTAGGTCATTCAGGTTGGACCTAGATCACATCCCTGATGAATATACAGTGGAAGTGAAGAATAGGTTTAAGGGACTAGATTTGATAGAGTGCCTGAAGAACTATTGATGGAGGTTCATGACATTGTACAGGAGGCAGCAATCACCACCATCCAAAGAAAAAGAAGTGCAAGAAAGCAAAGAGGCTGTCTGGTGAGGCTTTACAAATAGCAAAGAAGGAAAGTGAAAGGCAAAGGTGAAAAGGAAAGATTTTACCCAACCGAATGCAGATTTCCAGAGATCAGCAAGGAGAGATAAGGCGGCTTTCTTGAATGAACAATGCAAAGTAATAGAGGAAAGCAATAGAATGGGAAGGGCTAGAGATCACTTCAAGAAAATTGGAGAAATCAAGGGAGCGTTCCATGCAAAGCTGGCCATGATAAAGGTCAAAAACGGTAGGGACCTAACAGAAGCAGAAGAGATTAGGAAAAGATGGCAAAAATACACAGAAGAACTATACAAGAAAGACCTCGACGTCCTTGACAACCACGACGGTATAATCACTGACCTCGAGCCAGACATTCTGCAATGTGAAGTTAAATGGGCCTTAGAAAGCATTACTAACAACAAAGCTAGTGGAAGTGATGATATCCCAGCTGAGCTATTCAAAGTCTTAAAAGATGATGCTGTTAAAGTGCTGCACTCAATTTGCCAGCAAATTTGGAAAACGCAACAGTGGCCACAGGATTGGAAAAGGTCAGTATACATTCCAATCCCAAAGAAGGGCAATGCCAAGGAATGTTCAAACTATCGCACAATTGCACTCATATCACACGCTAGCAAGGTCATGCTCAAGATCCTACAAGCTAGGCTTCAACAGTACATGGATAGAGAACTGCCAGAAGTACAAGCTGGGTTTCGAAGAGGTAGAGGAACGAGAGATCAAATTGCCAACATTCGTTGGATTATGGAGAAAGCAAGAGAGTACCAGAAAAACATCTACTTCTGCTTCATTGACTATGCTAAAGCTTTTGACTGTGTGGATCACAACAAACTATGGCAGGTCCTTAAAGAGATGGGAGTACCAGACCACCTCACATGTCTCTTGAGAAACCTGTATAAGGGCCAAGAAGCGACAGTTAGAACCGGATACGGAACAACTGATTGGTTCAGCATAGGAAAAGGAGTACGACAAGGATGTATACTGTCACCTTGCTTATTTAATATATATGCAGAGTACATCATGCGAAATGCTGGCCTGGATGAATCACAAGCGGGAATTAAGATTGCTGGGGAAAAGATCAACAACCTCAGATATGCAGACGATACCACTCTAATGGCAGAAAGTGAAGAGGACCTAAAGAGCCTCTTGCTCAGGGTAAAAGAGGAGAGCGCAAAAGTGGGCTTGAAGCTCAACATCAAAAAAACTAAGATCATGGCATCCGGCCCCATCACTCCTTGGCAAATAGAAGGGGAAGTCGTGGAAGTAGTGACAGACTTCACGTTCCTGGGATCCCAGATCACCGCAGACTGTGACTGCAGCCATGAAATTAAAAGACGCCTGCTCCTTGGGAGGAAAGCGATGGCGAACCTAAACAGCATGATAAAAAGTAGAGACATCACCCTGCCAACAAAAGTCCGCATGGTCAAAGCAATGGTATTCCCAGTAGTCATGTATGGCTGTGAGAGTTGGACTATAAGGAAGGCCGAGCGCCGAAGAATAGATTCTTTTGAACTATGGTGCTGGAGAAGACTCTTGAGAGTCCCTTGGACTGCAAGAAGATCAAATCAGTCAATCCTAAAAGAAATCAACCCTGACTGTTCCCTGGAAGGCCAGATAATGAAACTGAAGCTCAAATACTTTGGCCACCAAATGAGAAGGGAGCACTCACTGGAGAAGACCCTGATGCTGGGAAAGATTGAAGGTCAAAGAAGACGGGGACGGCAAAGGATGAGATGGTTAGACAGTGTCACACCCCCATCTTTTAAAAGGGTTCCAGAGGAGATCTGGGAAATTATAGGCCAGTCAGTCTGATGTCAATACCAGGTAAATTGGTGGAAACTGTTATTAAGGAAAGAATTAGTAGGGACATTGATGAACAAAAACTAGAGGCAGACTCAGCATGGGTTCCTCATCAAAGGCTCCTAAGTACAGTGTGTGACTGCAATAAAAAAGGCCAATGCTATGCTCGGGATAATTAGGAAGGGAAATGAAAACAAATCAGCCAGTATCATAATGCCTGGAGAGGGTGGGAGCTCAGACAGGTACAATGCCCTAGACTCCAACCTCCACACCAGCCATTTCCTCCTGGGGAATCATTGTTGCTAATCTCCAGGTGAGGGCTGGAGATCACTCAGAATTACAGGTGCTCTTTGGACGGCAGAGATCAGTTCCCCTGGAGAAAATGGTGGGCTCTGTGTCATTATACCCTGCTGAGGTGGCCCCCCATGACAGCCAGTGTGACGTAGCAGTTAGTGCTTCAGAGCAGGGTCTGCCAAACCCAGGTTCTTCCTGTGGAAGCTGAATGGGTGATTTCAGCTCACTCACAGACTTTCAGCCTAACCTACCTCACATGGTTGTTCAGATCCAAAGGGGGAGAGGAGAATGATGTGAGCTGCTTTGGTCCCCACTGTGGAGAAAGACTGTAATTTTCCTAGGTAGAGGGGGGGAGAAGAGAGATGGAAAGCTGAAGTTAGAAGGGCAGATAAAGGTACACCAATGGTTGGCTGGAAAGAAGTTAGGGTTGCCACCTCCAGGTTGGGAAATTCCTGGAGATTTAATAGGTGGAGCCTGGAGAGGGTGGGATTTGAGGTGGTTGGGTCCTCAAACAGGTACAATGCCATAGATTCCACCCTCCAAACCAGATGTTTCCTCCTGGGGAACCATTGTTTCCAATCTCCAGGGGAGGGCTGGAGATCACTCAGAATTACAAATGCTTTTCAGACAGCCAAAATCTCTTCCCCTGGAGGAAATGGTAATCTCTGTATCATTATACCTTGCTGAGGTCACCACAGCAAATTGATGCTGAGTGATCAAGGCCTTATTCCTAGTTAGGATATAAAATGGGCACCTTTGGAATTCTAACACAGTGTGGTGGGCAGAGCCAACCACAAAATGTCAGAGAATTAAGTTATGTGTAACATTAACAGTAACTCTTCAACTTTAAAAGCTGAAGCTCTGTTTAATGATACCTTTTAAAATGAATATATTGTTTTAAAAGTATTTTCCTCCATACACACAGCTTAGCTTCAGTCACACAGTGAAGTCCCTTATGCTGTGGTGCCAGCTGCTGCCAAAGCAACATTTAAAAAAAATATGCACAGCCAAATGTATTTCCAATGGCTACTCAGAAGTCTTGCTGGACAAAAGCCCTGTCTGGCTCTGCTCACTTTCTAAAAACACTTGGTGGGCATCAGGATAGATGTCACTGGGTACCATGGAGCCTACGGGCACTATGTTGGGGACCCTCATTTTAGCCTTTAATATTCCTGGCAACTCAGGTTGTATTCCTAAGCACAGTTGTCGGGTGTAAGTGGCATTTATGTTTGTGTAAAAGGCTTACGATTGCACAGCAGACATTCCTTGCAGTCCAGGCACAGATCCCGATAAGCAAAAAAAAAACTGCCCAGACTCCCTAAACGTTCTGCAATGACAGCTGGGACTCCCAGGTCTCTGCTAGTTTGGAACTATTTATAGGCCTCTCCCACCAGAGCACCTGTGTGTTTCACTCACAACCCTGGCCCATCTTCCAGCAGCATGTCTTCCTCATTCTTACATAGATGAAGGGTAAGTGTGAGGTAACCCAAGCTTGCTATGAAGGTGAAACATACCAGTATCAGGCCCCTAGCCAGGATTTTGTAATTCAGGGGGCCTTTAAGTAAGTCAGGGGGCATTGATGTCACAAAATAAAAAATAAAATAAAAATTTAAAAACTCACTTTTGTGGCGTTCGCACTCTGCTTACGGTACCTACATGGGAAAACGAGCCATGCTTGGGGAAGGGGCGGTGGTGGGGAGTCCTCCAGGTTCTGGGTGGCCCAGAGAGCCTGGGGGCTGGATGGAAGTCAGGGGGCCAGGCCCCGAAATACCCCACTGTAGCTACAGGCCTAACCAGTACCCACCACTTGGAGTCCCATGTGTGACGCAGCAGCACATGCATGCCCCTATTCAACTGGTGAATGCTGAACCATGACAATTACTTGCATATGGGAAGCCGTCATCAAAACACAACAATAAGTGTTTCTTTGTTAACACTTACAAATCAGTAATGGAGACAATCAGCAGAAACTATGTATCTGTAAGCAAGCAGCAAAGAAAGAAACTTCCAATTCAAAAAGTTTTGAAAAATAAAGGAGAGTACCCTGTATTACTCTTACTCCTGATTCCTAGTGCTACAGAAGTCCACTTTCTTCTGGTCTCATATTGACCCTACCCCAACCTACACTTTCCAAAGAACTTTCAACTACATCTGCATGAAAAGAGAATGACTCAAAGCCAATATGATCCACTTAAGTACTAAACTTGGAACTGAAAGATCTGGATTCGAATCCATGCTCCAATAAGGACTCCCTGTGAAATCTTTGGCAAATTGTATCAACCGCTCTACTCTGTATATTAAAACTATAATGGCTAAAAGGGCTGCTGACATGGCGGGGGGTTAATGGATATGTTTCCTTATCAAGTGGTGCAATCCTAAGAGTTATGCCCTTATAAATCCATTGTCTTCAGTGGATTTAGAAGCATATAACTTTGCTTAGGACTGCACCGTAGAACAGGCTTTGTCATTTTTGGCATGGCAGCTTCCCTCTGGAAGTTGTTTTTAGAACATCAAAATGTCTTATTACTGGTGCCTCCCCTCCCCTGTGGTAGTGCTCCAAACACCACCCAGCTCAGCCCAGGCAAATTTCCCTGCCTTAGGGTGGATTTTTAAATCGCTCTATCTTATTTATCATTCTTAACTACTCCTGAAAACAGTCTTCCTTTAGCTACTCTGGTTGTGTGAACATAGCAGCGTGATAGAAAAGGATAAGGAATAATTTAAGGAAGGTCTACCTCCTAAGTGACACTTTTAAACTTAAAAATAAGTTCTTATTCAGCTCACACATTTCTGATGCAATTCAGAGCCCCCAGAATTCACTGACCTAGGATGTTTCTTCTGGTTATGATAAAATCACGTTTTTGCTTCTTCTTCTTCTTCTTTTTTAACCATTCAAGTCTTGACATCCCATCTGGAGATATGGCAAGCCCCCCAAGCAAGGCAAATTGACTCTGGCCCCGATGACCAAAGGGAACGGAAACGTTTGGCAAATGTAAAGCTTCCCTGAGATGATTATCATTAAGATGGTCAGCGTTCGTGTGTTCCCCTGGACAAACTTCTTGTTCCCTGCCAAGCAGGTGAAATCGTGCCCATCCTCACACCGGGAAAACCCATACGGCTGCCACTGGGGGTGGGAGAAAACTCTGAATGAATTAACTAATTATTTAAAAAAAAAAAAGTAATCATGTTTGTCATGGCGGGGACATATAAGAGGCACCCCCTCCTTACGAAAAACAGTCACTTTTTATCTCGGTTTCCAAATTAAATGTTTTTGGGTTTTTTTGCCGCAATTGAGCAGCGTCTTTTCCGAGCCAAACCCGGGTTTGCGCAGCTGCTCCCCGGCCTCCTCAGACCTCCCCCCACGACCAAAGCCCTTGTCTCTCAACCCACCCCCACCCCGCCGGCCGAGCTTACCTCCGTTCCAGCTGGTCAAGGCTCTCCACCAGGCGGCTGGAGCGGTCCGCCATGGAAGTGGAGCGGAAAAAGCGGCCTCGGACCTGCCCACCGCCCGGTTGCTGGGCTGCTTCGCCGCCGCCGCCGCCACTCTTCACGCTGCTGCTAATCTTGGCCTGGGCCATAGCGGGCCCGGCGCGCAAGGAGAGAAAGGTGGCCGCCTCTGCGACTTGCCCAGGGAGAGTCCCTGCAGGCTGTGGCGACAACGCCGCTCCTAGATTCACACCCGCGTCGCTGCCAAAGAAGGGAACGCGCATTCCCCGCCCAAGTCATCCCTTCGTTGTCGATCTCTCTCTCAGCGTTTCAGGAGCCCTTAAGCAGGCGGAAGCAGAAGTCCCGGAGCTCACGGCTGACAAGTAATTAACCCTGGCTGGCGGCCAAGAGCCATAGGCGGGCTGAGAGGCAGGGAGCAGAGAAAAAGGTACTCTCGCATACTCGCACATGCTCAGAGGCCCTCATCCTCATTAAAAGTAAACTGCGGGCTTGTGGCACTAAGGTCACATGGTCATTTTGATCGGGTTTCTCCGCTGTTCTCTCGCATTTAAAATTGCTGATCAGAAGCTGCATCCACCACCAAAGTGTGCTCAAAGTGCAATAAATCAGTAAGGCAATGGGCAACAAAGATATAAACTCTGCAGCTGAGTCAAGAGTCAAAATTTAAAGGGGAAAGCAACTAGAAAAGAAACTGAGCCAAGCTATGGCATGAATGCACACAAATATCTTGGGAAATGAATAAACAAATATGTAAACTTTAAAACAAAATGGAAAACAAATGGAAAATGACAGTATCATCCCCCAGTATCATCCCCCCCCCCCCAAAGTCTAATTACTGTAAATCCAAAACCACAGGAAAGCTTGCACCTCTGGCGTGCTCGCTCTCTCCTTCCCCCTCTCTTCCCTCTACACAGGAGGGGGATTCGGCTTTGTAGTGCTCCCGCCCACCACAATTAAACAAGCTGTGACTGCAGCAGCCCAGGAAGGAAGCAGCCAGAGAATTTAATCATCCTGAGCTCAGCCAAACAGCTGTGCGCTCAGGAGTAAAAATTAGTGCATGTAGCGCACAGGACTCACCTTAACGGGAAAACACTTTGGAGAATGCATGGCCCAGCTGCCTGGCGGTGGAGGTACCAGAGAGGGAAGAGGCACACCTCCCCCCATCCCAGGGGCTCTGAGTCTCTGCAGCATAGGCTGGGGACTAGGGAGCAAACTACCCCTGCGGCCGAACCCCCCCCCTTGCAAAGGCACTCCATGTGCAGCCTCCAGGCTCCAACTCCTCCAAGCTGAACTGAGGGCTGCTGGGAGCTGGGGGTGGGGCAGGAAGCAAGCCCCCGCCCTGACCTCCCTCCCAGTTCCAACCCTCCACTTTCAAAATGGTGTGAGGGGCGGGGAGGGGGATGGCAAGGCTCTTGCTGGGTGCTGGGTGCTGGGGGGGGGCTGGAAAAGTTTGTGGAGGCCTTGCACCCCTCAGCCCCCCTGAAGTTGACGCCTATGTGTCTACTAGTCAGCCTCCTTGCTCTTTGTTCTAGCTGTTGTCTCTTAGGGGGATGTGAAGACTAAGAAAAACAGGTTGCTTACCAGTAACTGGTGATCTTCGAGTGGTCATCTGTGCATTCACACCAATGGGATCTAGTGCGCCTGCGCTGGATCTGCCGGTGCCTAGCAAGCTCTCTTAAAAGGATTTTCGTGCCTGGCCCAACTGAGCATGCTCAGGAGC